CCCATGTTCTTCCAAATCTGTCATACCGAAATCTGTCTATCGTGGTGATGGAGGTTGGATTACTGGGAATTGGGGACAGGTGAAATTTTAATTTTGCTCCTGTCGCAATTTTTTCAGGTACTTATTCAAGAAATTTAGTGTTCGGCAACTTGTGGACCAGGTTGGAGGCGCAGAACTCTGTCTTGTGGTACTCGGTATTGCGAGGAAAAATTGAAGCCAAAAGTTTATGAACAATGTAATCTTCGCGACTGTGCAGTACCAAGTTTTCGTAATACATGGAAAACATCTGGATGGTCTCGGGTATAATTTTGGTCTTTCAAGTCTGAAAACTTTGCTTAACTTAAATTTTTTTGCAGTTTAAGAAGCTCAATGTTTTTAGTGTACTGTAACTTGCGGTGGCGGTACGCAACGGCGGGATGTATGGTGCGAAGACGGGAGGAGTAAAAGCAGAATTTCTGACACTGAATGTACAAAGTTTGGGAAACCAGAACCGGTAAGAAAATGTGCATCGATATCATGCACAAATGGATCTGCTTTACGGTATCGTTGGGAATCTGGCCAGTGGACATCGTCGGTACGTTCTCCTACAGTTGAAAGAGATCAAGCCCATTATCACATCAAAAAACGCAGGCGATACAGGGCGTAATGATTTTTCCAGCCATTAAACCAAAGTATCCTTTTTTTATCATTTTTTTGTTGTATCAACGTTTTTAACAAGAAACATTCCATACTCTTCTTCTGGTCTTTCTGAGGCTGCTTGAGCAAAAAAACGGGAAAGAAATGAGAAGAATGGATTTTAAATAAATCTAATAATTAACGGTTGAAGAGGGTTTAAAGTTACAAAAGTTTTAGCTTTTTGTCCGTATTTTTTTGCAACTTTTCTTAGTTTATCATTTATTTGTTGTTGCACAGCTGGCTTTTTACGATCCGAAAAACGTTTTTTTTTTTGATCTCTAACTGAGGAACTACTTTTTAAATGCAAAAAAAAGAACGTAATAATAATTAGCACAAAAACTTTGCACTTATTTTTTTCAGCACTTTTTCGGATGGTTTGGATACAAACTATTTTTTTGGGTTTTTTACATCGACAGAAACAGACTTAAAGACTGTTTATAGGTTTTTGTCTAAAGGACGGGGGAAATGGATAGGGTTTTTTAGCTTGGTCGTTTATTGGATGGGCCATGGCCAGGAATAAAGTTTTTGTACGAGGCTCAAGTTGTTAAGCCCGTCTGAGAAAAAAATGCGCTTCCGAACTTTTGGGGTTTAACAGATGCTTAATAACCAGTAAATCATTTTGTTCTTTTTTTTACATCTTTTTGCTTATCAATTTATTGCTTTTTTTCGGTTTTTATTGCCTTTTAAAGTTGTGTCTCAATTCCACACTTTTTTCTTTCATTTTTTTGCTTTATCTTTTTTGTTTGTGTGTTCAAATTGTTTGTTTGTTTGTTTTGTTTTGTTTTTCTGTTTTGTTTTTGAACGTTTAACTTTTTTTTTTGTTTTTACGCACTATCTGCTTATGGCTTTCAATGTTGGCTTTCACTGAGCACACAGTTTTTTCTTTTTTCTTCTCTGTTAAACAGTGATTCGAAAACAAAGAATCAAACAAAAAATGCTCTTCCGAGCAATCTAAAATGATGAGTCAAGTAATATAAAAGAAGAAGATGGATAAAAAGAAGTGACGAGGAAGAAAAGAAGGAAAGGCAAACGTAAAGTTTGTTTTTTTTCTTTCTTTTTCACATTTTTTTGTTTTTGTTTTTTGATTATTAATTACAACAAACATTGTTAACCGTCTTTTGAAAAAATTTTTTTTTACCATTCCTGTTTTCCGCTATGCGGTATTTGTGTATTATATAGTTGCATTGGTGTTAATAATATTGGCTTTTTTCTCCTGCCATCCGAAATTCCGTTTTGAAGACCATTGCCTTAAAAATTGGAAGAAGAGAGTTTTGTTTTAGCATTTCGCTAAATTTCAACACTTTTAATTTTTTTTTTTTTGATAAACAGTCTTTTGCGCGCAGTTCTTCTCTTTGATTACACTACTTTTTCAACACTTTTACTTTTATTTTTACCTTTTCAGTCAGTCTAATTTATCTTGAAATTAGCAGTTAAGTTAAAAAATCATTCATTTCTATAAGGCTGCTATTAGTTATCCTGCTGCATTACCAAGTGCGTCTAACTGATGACGGAGCATACATAAATTCTAAAAGCTATACAAAAAATTTTGGACGTGTATTAGTTGCGTTCATTAAATTTGTAAAACTGAACATTAAACGAACAAAAAAAAAGAAAAGAGAAAAAAAGAAAAAAAAGAAAATGCAAAGAAAC